AATTTGAAAACTTAGATGAGATGGACCAATTCCCTGAAAAGTATGAACTACCACAACTCACCCTCTGTAAAATAGATAATCTGAATGGCCCCATAACTATTAAGGAAATTTGTAACTTAAAACTCAAAAAGGAATCTCCAGGCTCAGGTGACTTCATCGAAGACTTCTAACAAACTTTTTAAGAATTAACACCAGTGGGTTCAATACTCAAAAATCAATCAATATAATCCACCATATTAACAGAGTAAAGAAGAAAAAACACATCACCATATCAAGTAATGCCAAGGAAATATTGGACAAAATTCAACATCCATTTGTGAGAAAAACGCTTGGCAAGCTAGAAACAGAGAGGACTTCTTCAACCGGATAAAGGGCATATATTAAAACATCCTGAAGCTAACATCATAATTAATTCTGAAAGACTGATCATTTTCCCCCTTATGGGAAATGTCCACTCTCACTTCTCCTATTCATCATACTCGAAGTCCTAGCCAAGACAATAGGCAAAACAAACAAACACCTTACAGATTAGGGAAAAAAGAAAGAAAATTATCTCTATTCACAGATGACATGAGTATCTATGTAGAAAACTCCAAGGAATTAAAAAAAAAATCCTGCAGCTAACAAATGAGTTTAGTAAGGATGCACAATAAAGAGCAGCACGCAACCCTCAAATGTATTTCTATATCCTAACAATGTACAATTTGAAACCAAAAAGTTTTAAATGACATTTATAAGAATGCCAAAGATATTAAATACTTTGGAATAAATCTAACAAAACGTACAGGATCTGTATGCTGAAAACTACAAAATGCTAATGAAACAAAGACCTAAATAAATAGAAAGCTGTATTATGTTCATAGATGAGAAGACTCAATAAAGTAAAAACAGCAATTCTCCCCAAATTGACCTATGGTTTGATGCAATTCCAAAGTAACAGCAGGATTTTTTTGTAGTTAGACACAAGTTGATTTTAAACTTTATATGGAAAGATAAAGGAACTAGAATAGCTAAAACAATTTTGAGAAAGAATAAGATTGGAGGAAGTCTTATTACCTGATATTAATATACTATACAGCTATCTTAATTGAAAAAAGTATGATTCTAGCAAAGAGAAAGATACATAAAGCAATGTAATAGAACAGAGGTCCCCACATTAGATACACACAAATATAGCCAACTGATTTTTTTTACAAAGGCGCAAAAACAATTCAATGGAGAAAGACAGTCTTTTCAACAAATGGTGATGGAACAACTGGACATTCATATTTTTAAAAAGTAAATCTTCCCCTCACACTTAAAAAAATATATATATATATTATTTTATTTTATTGATTTCAGAGAGTAAGGGAGAGGAAGAGCAAGATAGAAACATCAATGATGAGAATCATTGATTTGCTGCCTCCTGCACGCCCCCCCCCCCCCCCCCCTGAAAATCTTCTTGACCTGGAGTTAGGCAGAATTCTTTAGACATGATACCAAAAGATCCACAAAATGTAAAACTGGTAAGTTAGACTTCATGAAAATTAAAACATCTGCTCTGTGAAAGACAGGCTACAGCCTGGGAGAAAATATCTGCAAAACACATGTTGAACAAATAACTTTTATCCAGAGCATATCAAGAACCCTCAAAATTCAACATAAGAAATCTAACAAATAAGCACCTGAAAAGATAGTCAACATCTTTAGCCATTAGTTTAAGACGCATTAAAACCACAAGACACCACTCCATGCCTATTAGAATGGCTAAACTTAAAAATGCTGACAATACAAAGTGCTAGGGAGGCTGTGGAGCAATTAGTACTCTCACATGTCACTGGTCAAAATGCAAAGTGATACAGCCACTCTGGAAATCGGTGTAAAAATTTCTTAAAAGTTACACATACTTCACACGACCCTAGCAATAGCCTAGAGAAATGAATACTTAGGTTCACAATAAAACCTGGACACCAATGTTGATAGCAGTTCTATTCATAATCACTCAAAACTGGAACCAACCCAAATGTCCTTCAATGGGTGGATGTATAAACTGACAGATCCATCTCATGGTATGTATCCTACTTAGCAACTTAAAAAAATTGATGATACATGCAACAATTTGGAGGAATCTCAAAAAAGGCATGAAAGAAGTCGGCATCAAAAGGTTACATATTACATGATTCCATTTATGTGATATTCTAGGAACGAACAAACAGTACAGATGGTCCCAGACTTACATGGTTTGACTTACAATTTTCAATTTTACGATGGTGTGAAAACGATAGGAATTCAGGAGAAACCATACTTCAAATTTTGCATTTTGACCTTTCCTCAGGCTAGTGATATACAGTATGATATACTCCTGTGATGCTGGACTGCAGCAGCAGGAGGAAAGGGGTGTGTGTGTGGGGAAATAGGGGGTGGCAGCTCCCACTGGGCCAGGAAATAAGGAGGGTAAACAACTGATACCCTACAGCATAGTGTGTATTAAATGCATTTCGAATTATTTTCAACTTATAGTGGGTTTATCAGGTCCTAACCCCACCGTAAATTGAGGAGCATCTGTAATTGATGAGTTAGGGAAAGGATACGATAGTTTGTTGGAGTTTTTTTGGGGGGGAGGGGGGGTAGAACTGTTCTACATCCTGACTGTCATGTGGTTACATGAATCTAAAATTCATAGAATACACCTCCACAAAAAGTCAATTTTACTATATGGTCATTTAAAAAATAATAAAATTTGAAGAAAGAAAAGTGCTATCAGATTTTAACACGGTTTTTGTGATTAGCAGCCACTACTCTATAGTCTTAAAGCACTATATCGAAACTATTCTTAGAAAATAAGCACAATTCTGAGTACAATTTAAAAGCTTGACATACCTTTTTACCCCAAATTTAATTTTAAAGATTTTTTTGACAACCAATGTATTAGAAAATTTCTTATATATTAGAAAAGGAAAGGATGAGTTAACTCACTGATCAGAAGAGGTGTAGGTTTTGTTGTTTTTTCAACACAGCCTGCACTTAAATACAGTTGTGATTATATTTTAAAAATACTGCAACACGCCTTGGGCTCAATGGAATCACCTCGATGTTAGGCGTTATAGAAAACCTAGAGAAATAAACGGCCCCTTTCCGAGTCCCCAGCTACTAGGCAGTGAGGTTTACTACTCGGCTCCACACCCTCGGGTTCCTCTGCCTGCGGGGAGCGAGCTGCCGGGGGCTCCTGATTGGAGTAAAGCAACCGGGGACACCCAGTGTCAATGAGAGCGCAGACGGGCTCATTCATACCCGGCTGTCTGAGCGAGGAACTCGGGGAGGGTGGGGCCCCCCGAGGGACGAGAGGGGTCTGAAAGCCAGGGCAGAGCTCTGGACCCTGCTCCCCATCAAACCTCACCCGGGCCCTGAACGCCCCTGGGCTGGGGTCCCGCCCCGCCGGAGTCGCCCCTTCCCTGTTCGGGG